AGGTGCTCAGAGCAGGGCAGGTGCTCAGTGTAAAGTAGGTGCTCGGGGCAGGGCAGGTGCTCAGGGCAGGGCAGGTCGGCAGGGAGGGCAGGTGGACAAGGCAGGGTGAGTGCCGAGGGTAGGGCAGGTACTCAGGGCAGGGCAGGTGGGCAGGGAGGGCAGGTGCTCAGGGCAGGGTGAGAGCTCAGGGTAGGGCAGGTGCTCAGCGCAGGGCAGGTGCTCAGGGCAGGGCAGGTGGGCAGGGCGGGGTGAGTGCTCAGAGTAGGGCAGGTGCTCAGGGGAGGGTGAGTGCTCAGGGCAGGGCAGGTGCTCAGTGTAAAGTAGGTGCTCAGGGCAGGGCAGGTGGGCAGGGAGGGCAGGTGGACAAGGCAGGGTGAGTGCTCAGGGTAGGGCAGGTGCTCAGGGCAGGGCAGGTGCTCAGGGAGGGCAGGTGGACAAGGCAGGGTGAGTGCTCAGGGTAGGGCAGGTACTCAGGGCAGGGCAGGTGGGCAGGGAGGGCAGGTGCTCAGGGCAGGGTGAGTGCTCAGGGCAGGGCAGGTGCTCAGAGCAGGGCAGGTGCTCAGTGTAAAGTAGGTGCTCAGGGCAGGGCAGGTGCTCAGGGCAGGGCAGATGGGCAGGGAGGGCAGGTGCTCAGGGCAGGGTGAGTGCTCAGGGAAGGGCAGGTGCTCAGGACAGGGCAGGTGGGCAGGGAGGGCAGGTGCTCAAGGCAGAGCAGGTGCTTAAGTCAGGTGAGTGACAACGCAGGGCAGGTGCTCAGCCCACAGTGGGTGCTTCACACAGGTGGGGACCCTCCCTCTGCCTCCCGCCCGCATGCCTCTCCCGCTGTAGGACCCAGGGGCAGCCATGAGGACAGGCATGACTTGCCCCCTGCAAGCACAATGGGGAAGGACGGTCTGAGGCCCCGGCCCCTGCCCACAGCCCAGCAGCCACCTGGTACCTGAAGGAGATGAGGTTGGTATAGAGCAGTGGGAAGGCCAGCATACACAGGATCACCCGCCAGAGCCCGTTGTCCACGCAGAGCTGGCCCCACCACACCTTGGTTAGAAAGGCCTGTGGACAGAGGAGGCAGCTTCAGAATAGTGGGCGACCCTGGACCCCACCCCTGAGGGTGAAGGATGGGTCTGCTCCGTGCGAAGTGCCTGCATGCCCCCTAGCACAGTGCTCTGACCCCCCCCGGGCCACACCGTGTGGTGGGCAGTGCAGGACAGACCCCATCATCTGCCGGCTGAGGAAGAGGCTCGCGGTGGGCAGGGCCCGGCCAGTCTTTCCCAGGGGAACGGGCTGGGGCCACTCGGAGGACTGCAGGCTCCCAGTTAGAACACCCCTGTAGGGATGAGCCTTGACAACCCACCACCCACTCTCTCTTAGCGTCAGTTTCCTGACCTGCAAAACGGGAGGGGAGCACACGACCAAGGGCCAGGCCCTGTCCCCGGGACCCTGGGCAGCCGCAGCACAGGGACCTGTGTGCCTGAAGGTGAGCGAGAGGCTGCCTCGGCGCCCACAGCCCACAGGCAGCTCTTCCTGGAAGCGAGCCTCAGAAGGTCACCTGGATGCCTCCGTGAGACACGAACTTCATGTCCTTGGCCTGCAGGGCCAGCTGCAGGCAGGTGGTCTTCCCCCAGGCCTCCGACACACGGGTGAGCAGTTTCTGCGCTCTTTCCTCGTCCTTCCGGTGGCACTCGGTGAACACCCCTGGCGGAAGGAAGATCCATGTTCGACCTGGGGACAGCATCCGGGAGTGGCTCCTCCAGATGCCACGGTCCGAGCAGGACCAGGGAAGAGGACCCTGGGGCGATATGTGAGGAGTTGAGCTGTGGTCCAAGGCCACCACCCCATGAACTCACCGATGGCTCTGTGTTCATACTCATCAGCGAGCACCAGCATCCCCTCCAAGCTATCCGTGTCCTCCTCCTCCTTGGACAGCTCCTTTAGGATCTTGCTGCAGGCCAAGGCCGCCACAATGCAGTCCTGGCTCTGGGCACCAGGGAAGCTACTGTGAGGACCTGGACAGTCCAGCCCAGGAACCCCAGTCACGCTGCCCGGGGGTGATGAGAACAGAGGCCTCACGACAGTGTGGGCCACTACGTGATTACTTGTGCCCCTGTCCACATAAACCACTCGGGTCCCCCCAGATCAGTAGGTGAGCCTGAGCTGGTGGCCCAGTCTCCTGCACCGGCCAGTGGGAGGGCTCTGCTTGCCCACCCAGAGCACAGCCCAGACAGCATGAGTCCCAGCCCTGCCTGGGCATCTGGTCAACCCCAGGCACGGGGCTAAAGGACAGAAACGGGACCAGGTCCACACAAGCCCCCTCAGGCTCTAGCCCCCCCGCCTCAGTGGCACTGCCAGTCCCAGGCACCGAGGGTGCTGAGAAAATCTCAGGGAGGCCTCTCAAAGCACAGCCCAGAGGCACTGTCTGGCCCACAACAAGGGGCTGGTGGCGGAGCCTGGAGATCGTTGGTCCTCCCATGCACTGAGCCCCACAGAGCGCACCCAGCTCTGCCGCTGACCCACCACATGCCTTGGGAAAGGACAAACCTCCCAGAACCATGGAGAGGGTGGAAGCCACCAAAGCCTCTCTGCTGGTGACACTGGGGAGGGGGCCAATTCCATAAAAGCAATTTGGAAATGCCAACACTGAGAAGTAGGGGACTTCTCTGAGAAAAAAATTACACTTTAATTTGCCTCTAAGAAGAGAATCTGCTTGAAGTAAAGGAAAACCACGTGTGGGGGACTTGAGCCTGGCACATCCTCCATCATGACCATGAAGCTGCCCACAGTCTAGTGATGAGGGAGCTGAGGGCCGATGTTCCCAAAGAGCTCACAAAGGGGCTCAGGGCAGATACATCAGGGGCTTGCTCCCCATCTGAGTAACAAACTGTCTCTGTCGAGATCCCTAATGGTCAGTGGAAGGAGATGCAGCCCCTCCAGGGATGTCACCTTCTGCAGAGTCTCTACTGAGCAGGTCGGCCATGGCACAGGGGCCGACTCACCAGAACCCACCTGTGTCGCCATGGAGGTTGGCTCCACCCAGCTGTGCCTGCATGCTGAGCCTCCGCCCTGGACAGCACACCTTCTTAAAATTCTTTCCTTGCCTGAGCCAAGCTCTCTGTTCTCCAACACTGGGCACTCTGGGTCCCTTCTGGGGTCATGGACACCCACTGCTCTCCCTCCAAGGTCACGTGCTCCTCTACCTGCTGTTGGTCCTGGGCTTTCTGGCCACACTCCCTGGCTGGAGCCCTGTTACCTGTCCACACACGGTCATGCATCTTGAGAAACAGGTCTAGTTACCTGCGCCCAGATGATTTCTGCCAGCTCCCGACGGTTCTGGATGATGGCCCAAATGAGAAGATCACGGATTGGGTCCATGGTGAAGGACACATGTCCTGGTGAACGCTTGTGGAGGGACCGGAGACTCACTCCCTGCATCTGGTGAGCAGTGGACATTCAGAAACTCTCCTAGGTTCCCACTAGCGTCAGTATCCCTGGGTGGGCCTGTTGAGGGTGCAGGTCCTGAGCCCAGCTCCACACCTTCCCAGAACCACTGTCCCTAGAGGCTGAGCCCCCCCACACCTTTCCAGAACCACTATCCCTGGAGGGAGAGCCCTGCAACTTGCATTTTCAACAACACCTTAGACCAATTTCATGCATACTGGAGTTTTAAAACCGTCACTCTGGAGACATGTAGAAACATTCAGAAAGTGGAATACCCAGATAATTCCTTTGCCAACAATTGTAGCCTCTTATTTACACAGCAGGCACCTCGAGTTTCCTTAATCATCTCTGATGGCATCAAAGCCTTTCTGTGATGTCAACTTCTAGCACAGAGTCTGTTCTAGATTCATGGCTGTGAGCTCCTCAAGGGAATCTACACAGTGTCTCCTGCAGAGAAGGCCAATAAGAAAGAGCCGAACAGACAATGATTACATGTGACCAGGAGGGCACCTTGCCCCCAGACACACTCAATTCACACAGTGATGCAGGAATCCAGGTTCCTGGCCCATCAATCAGTAAACACCTACTCAGACAGTCTGGAAACAATTTCCAGAAGTGAGAACACATTTCCCACACCACACACAAGATTCCACTTTCTTTAAGAAATTTTAGAAATTTCTTGAAGGCTTGTCTTTATATTAAAAGAAATTAGTTGACAAACTAAATAAATTACAGACATGGTTAACTATGAGCTTCCACTCTGGACCTTTTTAAAGGGTATCTTAAATACAATGGAATCAAGAAGAGCAGAATTGTGAATATACAAAACCAAGCCACAACAACATCTTTCTCAGGAGGGGTCAGACAGAGCTCACCCGAGACAATGGATGAATTTGAAAACCTGAAGGAATGGGATAATTTTCTACCAAAAAAATCCCCCCAAAACAACAACTACAAACCAAATCTGATTGTAGAACACATAGAAAACCTAAACCAAGAAATTATCAGAAAAGAAACTGGAGAAAGTTCTCAGAGCTACTACCCAAAAAGGCACTGAGCCCTGATGGACTCATAGGAGAGCCTGCCGAGCTTGTAAGAACAAAGAATTCCAGCCACATAGAATGTTCCAGAGCAAAGAAATAAGGAAGGTTTCCCAATGGTTTTCCCAAGGATAACATAAAGCTGATACCGGAACCTGACAAAGATAGCCCCCAAAATAAAACTACAGTCAAAGGCTCAAAGATTCTGATGCAAAAACCATGAAAATATTGGCAACATAATCCAGCATCATACTAAGCACATGTTCCCCTGCAATCAAGTTGAGATTAAAACAGGAATAAAAATGTTTTGCTATCAGGAAATCTATTAAAATAATTCAGCAAATTCATAGGTTAACAAAGAAGAGCAGTTCAAATTCTCAAAACACACCTGACAAAACTCAGCACTTGGGCTTCGTTTGTGAAAGCTTCAAGAACCGGGGAGGTGGATACTCACTAACATAACACTTAGTGCTGAGATGCTGCAGGATTCCCATCAAATATGGATAGAGACTAGAAAAGGACTTCTCCCGCAGTGCAGTGCACGTGCTGGGTACCCTCACGGTGATGCGGTGGAATCCTGCTGACCTGACCACATGGTGGCCAGGACTGGAGTTCATGGCAGGAGGGGGACCATTTTCCTCACATAACCTTTTGTACCATTTGAAATTTTTAGAAAGGGAGAACTATGGACTGAAATGCATCCCCAGAATTTGTATGTTGAAGCCCCAGCTCCTAAAGTGACTGTATTTGGAGACAGGGTGTCTAAGGAGGTGATTAGGGCCTTAGGTTGTGGCCCTGCTTTGATAGGACTGGTGTCCCTATAAGAAGAGAGGACACCATTGCTCTCTGTATCTCTCTGCGTGCCCACGGAACAAAGACCACGTGTGGACGTGGCAAGAAGGCGGCCGTCCTCAAGCCAGGAAGAGAGGCCCCACTGGAAACCAACCCCGCTGACGTCTCGACCTCGGACTTAGCCTCCAGCCTGTGAGAGACTAAATGTCTGTTGTTTAAGCCGCCTGGGCTATGGTATCTTGTGATGGCGGCCCCGACAGACCAAGATAGGGATTGTATTTCTTTCCAATAACAATAAAAGATTATTTCTTTAAACAGAAGCACTAAGAACCTAGCAGCGGCCCAGCACCCAGGCCAGGCAGGGCGGGGAGCCCCGTCACCAGCACGCACATTGAGCTTGATGTTTGGCACGGGGAGCAGGAGATGGGGCCGATCGCCCGTCCGGGGCCGGGGGTACAGCGGCTGCGTGAAGTCCCCCAGGAGCTCGCGGAGCACCTGGGCCACGTGGTGCATCTGCACACGGGGGGCCGTGGGCCTGGACGCCAGCCGCTCGGGCTCCTCGGCCAGCACCTTCTGCAGCTTGCTGTGGAACAGGCAGGAGGGGTCCAGGTGCTGGTATAAGTAGAGCAGGGTGTCCCAGGTCACGAACTCCTTCAGCCGCACCCCATTCTCCAGGAAGAGCTTCACGAACTCGGGCTTGTTGGAAATGAGGGCGGCCATCATCACGGGGTGCAGCTCTGAAGGCTGAGAGAGAGCAGCATGGGGGGCACGCCTCGCACACCCTGATCGCGGTGTGTCCGATTCGGGAAGGGAGGAAGTGACCAGGGTGCTCTCCACCAGCACGAGGCTGGGGTCTAGACAGAGGCCACCCTCAGGGCCTGTCCTTGCTCCTGCCGGCCAACAATGCCGTCCGCAGGGCCTCCCAGGAGCCCTACCTTCCACTGCCGCTCGTCAGAGAAGATCTCGCTCCGGGCGATGTCCACGCGGTTCCACGCCACCGCCAACTTCAGCTGGTGGCCCCAGTTCTCGTGGCCAAAGTAGTCATGGCTCCGAGAGGCTGCAGGCAAAAGGCATTCGTGTCAGGGGGCTTTGGTCTGGGCCTCAAAGCCACTTCCCTGCATCCGACAAAGTCAGACAGGGAGGCACCTGTCTCCAAGCCTGGTCCTCCGACTTCGACCGAAGAGCGTGCCCAGCAGCAAAATCCGCCCCCGTGAAGGCGCTTTTCCTTTCAGTGCTGGAATCAGAGACTCTCCGGGTTTGGGGCATCGCTTGGGCTCACCCCTGCCCCCTGCCTGGTCAAGCCCCTTGTCCCCCAAGCTTCAAGAAAACACCGTCTTGGACAGACAGGCGTTTCTGAAGGAACATTCGGAAGTGACGGCTGCGCATGCGATCCGTTCCCTTTCCCGCCTTCAGTGCAAAACCAGAGTTCGGCCAGGCTCTCACCGCGGGCACTCTGCCAACCAGTTCCTGCTCTCTCTTGCTGGCGTTGCGCACTAAATCCCGGGTGCTTACTTGGGGAAGGAAACAGCAACTTCGACCCTTTCTCACACCACACACTGCAGAAGCCAGCGTGAGGCGCAGTGCGGAGACGCGAGCAGAAGGCTGTGCCCGCAGCGAGGCCACCTGAAGCCTGCAGCCATGGGCGCGGGGGTTTCCCGGGTGCGGGGAACATGAGCCACACGCGACAAAACGGATCGATTACGCTCCGGTGAAACCTAAGCCTTCCGCTCGCCAAGGACACCTTGAAGGAGCTAGGAAACGGGGCCAGGACCCAAGAGAAAACACCCCCAGGGCATGTATCAGACAGAGGCCCAGTATCCGACTGCATCAAGAACTCTTATGACTCAAAAACGAGACGACCAACAACCAAATAAACGCGGACAGAAGACCTGAAAGACCTGTCACCAGGATGATACGTACACGGCCAACAAGCCCAGGATGTCGCCGGCCATCGGGAAGACGCGAATTCAGACCACACTGAGCTGTCACCTCACACCCCTCAGACAGCAACCGCACCGAGGGACGGTGAAGACGCCGAGCCGCTAGAGGCCGCGTCCACGCCTGGTGGCGGGGTAAAGGGGTGTGATCTCGTTGGAAAACAGTCTGGCGGTTTCTTATCGAGTTAAACATACGCTTACCATAAAGAACCAGTAATTCCACCCGGAGATGTGGACCCAAGAGAAACGAGAACAAATAGCAGCTTTATTTATAAGAGCCCCACGCTGGAGGCGGCCTGCGTGTCCAGCAACACATGCACTGGAAAACTAGCCCTGGAGGACTGCTCGCAGCAGAAAGGAACAGAGTTCTGGGACGTGCGACAACGCGGAAAAGTCTCCAAGATGTTGCGCTGAGCCCGAGAAGCGGGACAGAAAGGAGTACTGCGTGTGGTTCCATTTATGTGAGGCTCTGTCATGGGGATAAGCCCGCCTATCAGGACAGAAAGCAGATAAATGGTCGCCTGAAGCACACAGAGGCACAGGGAGCTTTCAGGGGCAGGGGCGGGGGGGGATCGTGTCCCGCGTCTGGATTGGATGGGTGCACGGGGGGGACATACCTGTTAAAATGCACATAGCAGTAAACCCAGGATGGGGGACTGTAACTGTATATAAGCCGTACCTCAATAAAGGTGATTTTTAAAAGGGGTTGTCATTGAAAAACCATATATATGTGTGTATTTCTATTTTTTCATATATACTCACATAATAAAGGGAGAGTCCCTTTCGCCCAGAGTCCCACTGCCTTTCTCCTGAGCAACGAATTACAACCAATTACTCTGTGTTGCTTCCAGAAATAAATGCGGCCTCTGTCTCTCCCCCATGACCCGCTCTCCCCCCGGGCTGGGACTCGGGAGGCACCGTCCATGGACGCTGCCCAACACAAGCTAAGGCCAAACAAGCTTTCCCTAACTCCTCACGGAGGGTGACCTACCTCTAAAGGGCACCACCTTAAATGTGCAGCTCAGCGACTCTGGCTGACGTCTACACCTGTGTCCACCACCAGGATCGAGAAATGGAACTTCCCACCACCCCAGAGGCTCCGGCCCACCCTCCCGGCTCGGCACGGGCCCCAGCAGAAACCACGATCCACAGCGCTGGCCTCACTGGGTCTTGGATGCCCGAGAGCACACTTGAGAGCAGACACTGGGGTCCATCCTGGCCGTGGGCAAGGGGTCCTTCCCTCTGCAGCATTATGCACAGATGGCCACACCCAGGGCCCCAGGGCCCCAGGGCCCCCCTTCACCGCCTTCGAGGGCATTTCCCCGGATGTGGGCGGCCTGGTGTCCCTCTTCTGGCTCCTTCGGCCACCTCACAGAAGGCTAGGAAGGGACAGACGCCCTCACGGCCCCGTCCTTGAACAGAAGGGTCGGGCGCCGCAAAGTGAGACTGTCGACCCCCTGCCATCACACGGACATTCACGCCGGCTTTTCCGGCCCCCCGTGCCCTTGCTGGTGGGGGTCTGTGGGGTCTGAGGGGTCCACCTCCTGCTCTGCCACACGGTCAGCCTCCACAGTTGCTCTGATTCTATTCAGCCGGCTCCTCCCGGCTCTTCTGTCTCCCTGGACAGAGGTCTTGACGTGGGGGCCCTGGTCCTGGTTTTAACCATCTCGCTGGTTGGGAGGTTTTATGTCAGGAGGAGGTCGCAGAACAAAGCCGGGTTTGAGCCTCTCCCACCAGAGCTTCCTGCCCTGTCACCCGGCTCTGCCTGGGCCGCGTCCCTGGAGGGTGAGGGGCAGCCGGCGGGCAGAACATCAGGACGTCTGCAGCCCTGTCGGAGCCAGTGGAGGGACGGGGGCATCTGTCTTCCCCCAGGAGGGGGAGGGGGGGCAGCGTGGGGCAGAGAGCAGGCCAAGGGGTTGGCCCAAGCCCGGCCACCGCGGGAGCTTTAGTGTCCGGGGGGTCCCTGCTGCATGTGAGGACGCATGGGAGGTCAGGGGCTGGCCTTCCGAGACCTGGAATCGTATGTGCAGCTGTGACGACCGTGGGGGGCACCTTAGTGCAGGTGTCCTCGGGTTCCCGTGAAGCAGAGAAGTTGCAGAAAGGAGCCCGAAACCCCAACACCGGCCGCAGGGCACCCCCCGCCTGGCAGGAGAGTGAAGTAGGCCCCAGCACGGTCCACCACCAGCTGCCCTCTGACCAGCACGTCTGACCCAGGGGTCGGTTTTTGGCTCATGCAAACTCAGGGTCCTGAGCCCCCTCATTCTGCTTCTCCCTCTCGCCCCACCTTGCCTGACTCTCACCTTTCAGCAAGGCCTGCAGGATGGCCACGTCCACGTCCTGCTGGCCATCCTTGCCTTCCCGGAAGATGGTCAGCAGCTGCCGCCTCCGGACGATGTCTTGGATCTGCAATAGACATTGCCCGAGTGAGGTTTGGGGTGACACGCAGGCCCCCTGCCTCCTCAAAGGGCACCTGCAGAATCGAGACCCCAGACACACAGCCGAGCCCAGGCGTGAGTCCTGCCTGCCGGTGTGGCCTGGGCCAGCACCTCGCCTCCGTACGCCCCCAGTGGTGAAGACGAAGACACGTAAGGACCAAATATGCAATATATGTGAGTGGTCTGCCGGTGGAAACACAACCCAAGTGTAAGGAATTTCACACCGGCATGAGACAGTGTGTGCTGAATGCCGGACACCGCTGAACTTGAGACTTCTCCCCCAGTCCTCCTGCCTGGGCCCTGCCACTCCTCACCTTGCCTACCTACCTACCTGCCCGCCCACCAGCCATCCAGTCGTCCACCCACCCACCCACCTGTCCACGTACCTATCTATCTGCTCGTCCTACCTACCTACCTACCTACCCGTCTGTCTATCCAGCCACCTACTATATCCGTCTGTCTGTCCATCCATCCGTCCGTCCGTCGTCCATCCATCCATGTACCTATCACCCATCTATCTATCACATCTAAGCCTGCTGCCAGGCACTGCTCCCCATCGGCCCTTCACCCTGAGGCCAGGGTGAGTCTTTCACAAGCACATCATACCGCGGCTCCCACGGGCCTCCGGCCTCTCTCCCTAGCTCCCTAGTCGGCCACGCCCAGCCTTGCCCACCCTATCCCCCCCCACCCCAGCCTGGCCCCCTCCCCACCTAGAGGGCGGCCTCACTCGCCCCACCTCCACCTCTAAGACCCCAACTTTCCCCATCCCTCAGGTCCACCTTTCACGCCGACTCTAAAATACCCCCCGTCTCCCTGCCCAGCCCCCCCACCCCCAGCTGAAATAATGTCTCCTGAGTTTAGGCCCTGAGCTGAGTGGGAACAGCTGCCAGCGTTTGAGCTTATGCACGCGGACACAGTACCAAGCACTTTGTGTAGATACTCGCTGTCTGTTCTCTGAGCTTAAGCGATAATTATCCCTATTTTTTTATTATTATTATTATTATTTAAAGATTTTATTTATTTGAGAGAGAGAGAGAGCACATGAGAGGGGGGAGGGTTCAGAGGGAGAAGCAGACTCCCTGCCGAGCAGGGAGCCCGATGCGGGACTCGATCCTGGGACTCCAGGATCATGACCTGAGCCGAAGGCAGTTGCTTAACCAACTGAGCCACCCAGGCGCCCGATAATTATCCCTATTTTAAGGACAAGAAAAGCAACGCTCAGAGAGAGCAAACAATTCCCTTTTGACACACAGCTCTCTGGTGTTGGCTACAAGCCCCCGCAATGAGCAACCCCTCACCACGGTGGATGTCCATGCCCACCCGCGGCAGCATTGGAGGGAACAAGACCCTCCTATTCATCCCAGCCACCACCCACGGTGTAGACCAACGCTCTGAGGTTTATTGAATGAATAGCGGATCGGGACTCTGTAGCCGAGAGTCCCCCCCTCCTCCGAACCAGAATGACAATGAATGGCAAGACTTGAGATGGATTCGTACGAGACCTTTTTTAGGGCTTTGAGTCAGCCACGGAGAGTGGATTCAAACAGGCAACTTTTGACAATAGTGAGTTAGTTTCAGTTCGAAGAATTGCCTGAATAATTTATAAAGTAACTGGAGAAAGGCCCCAGGGCGTGCCCACCAACTCCCAACGGCGCCATCGGGAGCCGAGCTGACGCTCACAGCCGGACTTCAGCGTCTTCACAGACTGAGCCGGCGCTCAGGGCGAAACCATCTCACGGAACATCCGGATCTAACACGGTCGCTCAGAGACCGCAGCATGCACACGAGAACGGGGTCACTGTGCCATCCACAAAGCCCCGAAAACCTACGCCCGCCCCCTCCAGAGTGAGCCCCTGCTGCCCCCACTAGGCCCAGCCCCTCCCAAGCCCGCATCCCCCCTCCACCTGGCCGACCACGGCTGTCCCTGTGGTCCTGGCTGCTGGGCACAGATTGTCCGCGTGGCTCGAAATTAGACATGGTCAGAGGAGCTAAGCTGATCTACAGACGTGCCCCAAAAAGCATCTGTCAGGCGCTTAAAACTTTGGATTTGCAGGAGTTTTTACAACCCGGCTTGCTGTTCACACACCTCAGTGAAGCACAGAGACTGAGCTCCTTGCTGGGGAAACCGAGGACCTGAGAAGCACCAAGAATGCAACTGTGAAACAGAGGTCAGGTGACCTCAGACAGATGGGCCCTGAGCCCCCAGGTTCAGAGAGCAGCAGGGACGGCAGGGTCCGAGTGACCACCAGAGTGGGAGGTGCTGGGGGCTCCCCGCTCGAGCTCCCCCAGGCTGGCCAGGGCTGCGTGTGCCAGCAAGGGCCGACCCGGCCACACTCCTTCTCGCTCACCGCCCCCCCGGCAGGCTGCGGTCCTTCCGCAGAGCTCACGGGGGCCACCCAAAGTCTGCTCTGGGGACACAGCCGCTTCTGAGGCCCACTGCAAACGCTGCAGTTCTCCCAATGGAGCCAGACAGCCTCCGGGCATCTGTGAGCATCAGGGGAAGAGTCCTTGCTCCATTCCTGCACTAACTCCCCCCACCCCCCACCCCCTGCCTGTGAGGACCCCCGCTCTGAGAGATCACGGGGCGCCCGTGAGGCTCACAGCTCCGGAGCTGAGGACAGGAGCAGAAAGTGGGGCCCCCTAGCCCCCAGCCTGCCCACAGCCGGAGCAGCCCCCCTTTCCTCCCGAGCTTAGGGACGCTCCAGAAAATCTTTGCAGTCTGACAGCTAGCTGCAGGGAGGGGAGGGGGGCTCTGCGTTCAGCCAACAGTGAGGAACCAACGTTCATCTCTTAGTTTCAACAGTGCGCCGCTCCTCTGCAGGATGTGGGCATCAGGAGAGGTTGGGTGAAACGTGGATAGAAACCCTCTATCTTGGCAACTATCCTACAAAGCTAAAATTATTCCAGGATAAAAAGAGCGCGAGAGCAGGACCAGGGCCCTGGAAAGAGGCTGAGCCCAGCAGCTGAGGGCCAGGCCCGTCCCCCCCGGGGCGTGTGCCCGAGGTGTTAGCTGCGGGTTCGTGTCCCCAAACTCCTGGTGTCCACTCAGGATGTCCTGCCATGGTGCCCCTGCGGGGGGCCTCCTGGAGAGCAGGGGTATCCCCTGGAACGGTCCCTGCACCTGCAGATCCCCAGGAAGGGCCCCCATCTGCAGATGCCTCTAGCTGAGGGGTGCCCATGAAGCCCCTTCCAGATGCCACACGGGCCCCTCTCCCCTCACCTGCCTCCCTGGCTTGCCAGCCCTCAAACGCCTCCATTCATCTGCCCGGGGGTGGGGGGGCGGGGCAGAGCTTGCCGGGCTTGCAGGCTGGGCCTGACCCTGCCGCCCGTGGCTGTCACCTGGAGCGCCCCTGTGGCCTGGATCTCGGCTCTCCAGCCCTCTGCTCCCGCCCTGGCCTCCGCGGCAGCCTCCTGCCCCCAACCCAGCAGGCCCCTCTTCTGAAGCAGCTGTGTGGTCAGCCCCCAGTGTTCCCCAGCACAGGCCTGAACTTGGGGGGGCAAGAGATTCAACACGTGCCCACCCTCGGCAGGACAGTGTGCGGCCTCTGCTGAAGGCTTCCCAACCCACCCTGGGCCCCCTGCCTGCCCGGCACGAAGCCCCCACCGTCCAAAGTGCAGGCCATGCCCCCGCCAGGCCCACTGGGGTCTCCGTTTCTGGGCTGCAGCCCCGGTCCTGTTTCCAGGCTAACGGCGTCTGGGAGCTGGCTGCACACCTCCCGACCCACAGGCCCGTCTGCTCGCCTTTTTGGTCCACTCGACAATCCTGCTCTCGCTGAGGGTCTCAAACATCTCCTGGAAGAACACGCTGAGCTTCTGCTGAATCCTGGAGATGGTGATCTCGGACGTGGGCAGGCCGGCCACCTGGGCAATGACGTCGGCCACGCGGCCCGAGCCCTCCACGACCACGCAGGGGGTGCCGCTGGTGATGGCGTTGTAGATGGTCTGCAAGGCAAGGGCCCCCCGTGAGCCCCGCGCTGACTCTCCCCGAACCGGGGACTTCGGCAGCATGGCTCGGGGTCAGAGCCAAGGCGCTCCTGCGAAACGTACCGAAAACATTGAGTTTGGTAGCATTCCCCTGCCCAGAGGGCAAAAGTGGCTCATCCTGATAGACCAGCTCCTTCAGGCCCATTGCTCAGGTGGACCGGGACCACCGAAACAGAACCCCCATGACGTATCGGCCCACTGACCCGTGTCGCGGGAGAGGGTGCCGCCTGGCCCGGCCCTTGGGAAGGCCCAACATGAGACCAGGGCCACCGGGGCAGATCCCCCGACACCCAGGGTGAGGTCAGCTTCAGGAAGGGCCTCGGACCTCTGCGGGAAGACACCCTCCGGGCCGACGAGGCAGGTCTGGGTGCCTCCTGTGGGACCCCATGCAGAGCGCTGCACGTGGGCAGGGAGTGGGACACAGGGTGCACTCCCGTCCCCCCGGGAGTCCTCCGCGAGACATTTCCTATGGTCCTTCCGCCCCAAATGTGCTATTATCCTGCGGCAGAAGTGAAGTCAGGCAGCGCTCCAGCAGCGAGACCAACCTCACTCCGTGGACTGGGTTCTCCGTGGGAGCCAGCTTTACACTCAGCTGTGGTCCCGTGGGGCTGGGGCGGGGCCTGACCTCTGCGCTGACGCTCCCCCATCTGGCTCCGTCCTTGCTGCCGTCCCCCGAGGGTCCCTCTTCCTGGCCACACACCCAGGGCCAGAGCCAGCACATCCCCCCCCAACAGCAGGGCGCCTCCTCGAAGGCCACCTTCCCGCCACGCCTGGAAGGGCTCTGTCACACGCCCCCTCCCTTTCTCCCGGCACCCCCCCTTGCCAATGGCCCCGCGGGATGCTGGTCAGGGGGCTTCGGGCCAGCAGATCCCCCCTGCAGCAGAGCTTGACCCCCAGAGCCCCCTCCCCCGGCCACTACTCACGTGCAGCGTGCCGGGCCCCCCTTCCAGCACCACACAGACGATGGGGATCTTGATGGCCACGCCTAGGACGAAGCACGGATCCCCAGTTTAGGGAACATGGGGGCTCAGACCCTCCACCTGGGCACTCTCGCCCGCCTCCCACCAGCTCTAGCCTAATCACGGCGGACGCATCCGATGGGAGATGCGCAGGAAGTACTCAGTAGCTTTCGCGGGCTGATGCTCTGCAGTCGGTGGACGACCTGCTTGCTCTGTGTAACAAGAGCAAATCTGAGGCCCTGAGACAGATCCTCCACCGCGTACTCGCACTCCCGTTCTGGGGCGGGAGGGGAGGAGGGCCGTCTGCCTGGCCGGCCACCGTGACCAGCTTGCTTCTCTCGCCGGCCCTTTTATGGCGCCTCAAACCTGGGCACGCCATGGGGACACACCAAGCCAGTGGGCGGAAGGCACCGTCAAGGTGGCGGGGCACGGCATGGGGAGAGCAGGGGGATCCCCTGGAACGCTCCCTGCACCTGCAGATCCCCAGGAGGGGCCCCCATCTGCAGACCTCTGTCCCACCATTCGCCCCTGCCCTGGGCCTTTCATCCATCCTGGCGGCCTGGGGCCTGCTGAGGACTTTAGAAATCTCTCCGGGGCAGCAAACTTTGCCTCCAGGTGCCGCCGAGGTTGCTCTGCCCTCCCATCTGCGCCCCCCCAGGCTCCCTCAGGCAAAGCTGGGCTCTAAGTTGTGGTCCCAGGCCAGCAGCACCAGCCTCACCTGAGGCCCGAGAACGGCCAGGTTGGCAGGTCCTCGGGGGGCTTGAACACCCCTGCTCACCGCTCTAAAAGCTCCCACCCAACCTGCTACGGAGCCGGAAACTCCTGCTATCTAGGTCCCCCCTCTACCCCCCAAATCGTGCACGAATTCCTGCGTGTTTGCCCTTCCCGTGTCCCAGAACCCACCCCATCCCACCCACAAGGGAAATGGTGTCAGGGCCGCGTTCTGCACATTCCTGTTTCTGAACTGAGCCCGGGTTTGTGGTGCAGAGTGACTGTAGGTGGTCTACGACCCAAGAGAGAGCAGAAAAACCGGGGGCCTGACCCCACCTCCCTCCACCAGTTAAATGGGGTGACAGAAGGCGTCCCCACTGAACGCGCATGGAGAGACAGTGGGAAGAAGCCCAGCTGTGCCCTATGGCGCCCCGAGCAGCCCGCCTGTTGAACGTCCTGCCACGGCCGGCTGTGCCTGGGACTCCTTGGCCAGCCGGCGCCCCCCGCCGCCCTGACAGCCCTCAAAAATACGCTCCACTCACCTCCTCTTTCCTTCGTCTGCTCGGATATGAACTTCTCCAGCTTCGTCCGCAGGGGAATCTCAACCCCATAGCGGCCGTGGGTCCCGTCGTCCACAAGGATGAAATGGGAGTGGTTACTGTCCAGGCAGGTCAGGTGCCCTTGGCCTTCCTCGTCCATGATGTACTCAGCAGGAAAGCTGCCCTGGGGACGGCCAGAGAAGCGTCAGACACGGACAGATGGGAAGTTCTGCGTCTTGAATGCTAGGAATGGGGGTTCCGGTAGGCTGGATAATGAGCCCCAAAGATAGGAAGTCCTAAACCCTGGAACCTGTGAACATTACCTTATTTGGAAAAAGAGCCATTGCAGGTTTGATTGAGTTAAGCATAACATGGGAAGATTTTCCTGAAAGGTCCAGGCAGGTCCTAAATGTCACCCCAGGGTCCTTACAGGGGGAGGCAGAGGGAGATGGACCACCAGAGGGGGAGAGCCCGACGACCGTGAAGGCAGAGACCCCAGCACTGGGCCACAGCCAAGGACAGCCCGCAGCCGCCCGGCCAGGCGTGGCCCCCCTGAGCCCCACTGCCTCCAGGAGTGGGAGAGAGCCGTGCAGATAGTCGCAAGAGCGGCGAGGGCTTGGAACGCGGGGTCGGGTGGAGGCTGACCGAACACGGGCACGTGGTAGAAGAGGCCCGGCCGCCTGGAGCAGACAGCGCTGGGCGGGCGCGCAGGGCAGAGGGCTCAGCGGGCACCGTCAGCGGGGGTGGGGAGCGGACTGAGCGAGCCAAGGCTGTCTCCAGCAGCAGAGCATCCCTGGCCGTATGGACAGATGCTGAGGTGCAGCGTGCCGGGCCCCCCTTCTGGGGGCGGCCCGGAGGGACACAAGGACCATGGCATTGGAAACGGGAGGAGGGTGACCGTCCTCTCTGATGACCAATCCAGGAGGGACGGCAGCGGGGCCAGCGTACACAGAAAGCAGAGCTGAGCCGCGTGGGGCCGCCGTGCAGAGAGCGCAAGGGTAAGCGAGGGGCATGGACGCTGAGCCAGGGGCTTTCTGAACAGCCAAGCAGGTGCCTCCTGGCTTCTTCTTGCTGAGAAAGGGGACAGGCTGAGGGGACCGGGACTTGATGACGGGGGACACGCTCAGCCTGTCCCAATTGCGACACCTGCCTGCAAGCTCCCGGCTCGCGGACAGGAGGCCCCTCTCAGGCGGGGCTGGACCTTTGCTGGGGATGCGACAAGAGGCGTGTGACGGGGGCCTCAACCATCTCGGGGGACCCTGGAACACAGGCGGCATGGGGACCGGCTCCGTGTCTGTGGCATGCCCCCCGCCCCAGGACACACGCCGCAAAAACAGGATGTTGGGTCAGCAGAAGCACTGCTAACTTGGACCAAAGGGAAACAGGATCTGGACTCCCAAACCTCTTCAGGCGGGAAACAGCAGATAACCTTCAAGAAAACAGCATGATCATCCCCGGGGCAGGGTCACGGACGAGGCAGAGGCTGGGCCTCAAGTCACAGAGATTCCAGAGTTCAGCGACCTAACGGATTTCCCCGTTGGGCTTGGGGATTGCTGGGGACCCGGGACCCCTTTATTCCTGGCACGTTCCCCTTTCTGGGAGGAGAACATGCAGCTATTCTAGGATGCCCATCCCATTATTATATTCCAGAAGAAAGTAACTTGTTTTCCATGGCACGGGGCCACGCACGAGGGGGAGCCTTGTCCCAGGATGGATCCCACGCAGAGTGTCGTTCATGCTGATTTGGATGATTCAGATAATGAGATCGGGCACTTTTTGGCTGAGCGGATGCTGTAATGGGTTGATCAGGTGGGGAGTCTAGGGATGGGGTGAATATACTTTGTGCGTGGGACGGACGTAAATCTTTGGGGGTCAGAGGGTAGCCTGCAGCGGGCAAGCCTCTGTCATCCAAAGACATCAGGATCCCGAGCCAGGGAAGGCCCACCGGCCAGCAGAATCTGCAGGAGGCAGAAGCAGCCTCCCCAGAGCCTCTGGAGGGAGGACAGCCTGTCCGCACCTTGACTGTGGCGAGGGAGGCTCATTCCAGACCTCTGGTCTCCGGAAGTGGAAGAATGCATTTCTGCTGCTCTCAGCCACCAGGTTTGCGATCACGGGTTCCAGCAGCCCCTGGACACTGATCCAGGAGGGACGGCTGAGGGGCCAGCGCACACGTCCCCTGTGGTCCACAGAGGACGGCGGGGGGCTGTCATGGGGACAAAGTCAAGAGTGGTCTCGGAAGTCACCCCATCTCTCTTGGCCTTGGGTTTCCACTCCCTGGAATGAGCAGGCAAGGTGGAGCAGTCCCGTCCCTCTAAACACACCTGCAGCTCTGACACAGGAGGACAAAGCCTGGCCAGTCACCAGCAACCGTGACGGAAAAGGGGTCACCGTCACAGAAGGGATCTTCCTGGGAAAGAGCACTCAGCGCCGTGGCCCCGAAACCGGGAGGCCCCCATTCGTGAATTACCACTCACGGGCCCGTCATGGGCCCGTGTGTCGCAGGACGTGTCTGACTGTGTGTTAGGTGGCCCTGTGCTCCTTGTGCCACATCCACTGTGTCCTTCAACAATCTCGTCGGAGGAACCCGATGATCTTTTCCAACGCGAGTCTCCGCGTTCGAGCGAAGGCCCCCACTACTGTCCCCTCGGCAACACACGGGCGTGGCAGCGACTGCCAGAAGCCGTTCTGGGCTGGAGTCACTGCAGCGTGTGGGGTTCCAAGGGTTCTATCAGGCTCTGGGATCACACAGCCTAGGCTCACCCTAACCCAGACGCGCCCTGCCCTCTGCGGAATCCACGTCTCATCTGAGCAGCTGTTCCGACGACCTGTGGTGACTCTGAAGCGGCTCCTACGTGGACCCGTCCTGTGGTTGTAAGGCAGTCCAGCCGAGCTAGCTGCCTCCCCCGGTCACCAGGGTCTGCGGTGCAGCCGGGCATGAGCCCCGGTCTCCTGTGCCCCTGTCCAGGCTCTCCCCTCTCCGCGGCATTTACCCCGGTGTCCAGACGGTGGCCTGTCCACTGCAGGCCCGGGCGCTGGGATCCTACACCTCACCTCCCCTGCCCCCGAGCCCCAGGGGAGGTCGCCGAGCTCACCGAGGGGTGGATCAGGCCTTCCCGATTGTGCACGGTACCCCACGTGGCAATTCCGACAGTGACGACTTCTTCTTCATTGTAGCTGCTGCTCAGGGTGAAGTCCCGCACCGCCTTGCCCACCTGCTTCATCACGCCCGTGTGGGACCCGCCGGTGATAATCCAGGCCCCTGGGGAGAGGAGCAGAGGTACGCACCTGCCACGCACAAGCCTGACGCCGAGGGCCCTGTGTGCTTCCCGTGCTCACTCCCCTTTATCTGCGGGCCCCTCCTCAAGGGCTCTCTAGCTCATCACCAGGCCTAAGTCTCAGAACCAGGACCACGGAGGAAACCACACTGTGATTCTGTCTTCAGGGTGCGGCTCTGGGGGCCAAGGTCTCCCACCTGCTCAGGTAGGCGGTGGGGACAAGAACGGGGACAGCAGGCCTCTGTCCCCACCTGCCCGTTGCTTCTTCTCTGTCCTGGACTCAGGAACACGTTTGTCTGAATTCTTCTACTCCAAGACATAAAAGTCCCTTCTTCCCCTCGGTTCCTGGGGCCTGAGTGTGGTGGACTATTCCGCTACTCCTGACCTGCTCACCCCGCCACGCTGCCCATTGGCACGTGGCTTGCAGTGGCCCCGGCAGGGCACCCCCTTCCCAGCCACGGCCCAGCCCGCGGACCTGCTTGGTCACCGCACGCAGGCGAGGAGCATGCATGCCAGGCCTGGGGGCTGTGAATTTGTGCCGCAGCTGTTCTTGCTGCGTCTCTCCTGCCACGAGAAAGCCGATCCCCGTGGGGTCTGCTCCCCTAAGCTGTGTCCCAGGTGAAGGGAGATGGGGGAGAGCTGCCACCATGGGCCTGCAGCTGCCTGCTGGGAACGCGGGCAAAGGGTAGAGTTCACAGCTGTGCGGTCGCCTGTTCCCAGGGCCATGACGACCACGGCACAGAAGACAGCTCTGCGTGGCCATAAGGAACAAGCTCAAACACGCGGCTCGGGCTTTGGGGCCGGGACGTGACAGCCAGGACATTGCTACTGAACGCGAAAAAGACGACCATCAAGACTTGTCACCTGTGATGACCTGGGGGACAGGTGAGCACCTAACAGATTCACAGCCAAGCTCACGAGTGTGCCTGGGTGACGGTCAGCTGCACTTAGCCGAGTCCCGCATGCTGAGGAGACTCCAAGAGACGCGGGCCAGGAGGACTCAGACTGAGCCTCTGTTTCAGGGCAAGGACCAGAGGGCGTGGGCCTCCTATGCTGCTAAAACCGGATCCTAGAAAGAGGGTCAGTGTCCCCCTGGATGGCCCAGTCTCACCTGGACCCAAAACCCTCGCTCTCCTGCCGTTAACTTACCCAGTGTAGCCCCCTTGGAGGCCACGGGCACCATGGCTACTCCTCCAGCGTCCCTCTGAGAGAGAGCCAAGGGCCGCCTCCCGTGGAGCGCACGCAGCCTCAGGCCCTGCCCTGTGCTCACGAGGTGTGGCCTCGGGGGGCATGGAGCCCTGAGGCAGTCACCTCACACAGCAGTCCCTCCTTCCCAGATGTGGACAGAGGGATGAGGTAACAGGGATCTGGTTAACAGAGACCCTCACCGACATCCCCACGACTAACACAACCACCTCCAGGCTCCTCCACTGGCCACTACACTGGCTCACAGTTAACTCGGGCCTCCTGTGGGTATAGAGCAGTGCGGTGCCATCAGGAGCTTGCTAGAGCTATGTCCACCCCACGAGCAAGCCTCGCAGCTGCCACTGTGGGCCCACAAGGCCCGGCTGAGTCTGACCTGGCAGGGCATGGCCTCGGTGACCCCTGAGGACTGCTCCAGTCCCAGCATCCCGTGCTGTCCGCTCAGCCCGCCCACGTCTCCCAGCCCCAAGTGCTACCTGTGGTCTGGGCCACCTTGACCAGGCCTCTTCGGAAGACACTCTTCAGCCTGGGCTTCATGTTGAAGTCCTTGGCCCCGCCTGTTACCGAGATGAGGAGGTTGGGGATGTCCAGGCCCCAGTACTGGGTCATGAGGTGGTAGATCACGCTGGGGGGCGTGTCCTGGGAGAGGCGAACGTACTACAGGGAAGTCAGAGGACAGCAGAGGACACCCTGTGTCAGCGAGTGGCCAGCCCAGCCCCAGAGATGGCAATGCAGCCATGCCCGAGAGCCCAAGCCAGGGAATGGACACCTCCCACCCTGGGTCTAGAGTCAATGAGTAGAAGTGGCCACACCCAAGTAGGATTAGGATTGAGAGGAAGGGGGAAGGGGCAAAGGCCCAGCGAGATGACAGACCACCCCTGGGGAGACCAGCCCCCATCTTCCCAGCTCCCTCGGCCCAGCCCCATGCCCACAGCACCCTCCCCACCCTGCTTCTCTGCTGTAGGACGCACCCAGCCCAAGGCTCACCCTGCCCTGTGGTGACCCAGAACTCAGAGCACCATGGGTCTCCTGTGAGCCTTGTGGAGCCCCCGCCTACCCCTCCCCTAGTGCTGGCAGGCTGGATGCCTTGGGTTTCAGCCAGCCTCTCTCTCCCACGCCAGGAAGTCCTGGCCACTCAGATCATGGAAGGTTGACACGAGTCCACAGTGAAAGCAATGGAGGGATGAGGACCAACCTTTCCCACCTTCTGGCCCAGGCCCGTGAAAACAAGGTCACCAAAGGCGTCTGTTGGCATCTCCTGCACATGTTTTTTGGGGTCCCAATCCTTGCCCTGCAAAGTGTGGGGCCTGGTAGCCTCCTCCAAGTGTTGTTGCCGTGTGTATCCACACTCACACACCACCTTCCTGCAAAGACCACACAGTCACTGGAGAAGCAAGGTGCCCCTGTGCTCCCCTCTGGGGTGTCAGGACTTCCAGCCCCCGGCAGTGAGGAGGCACCCCCAGCAGCAGGGTCAGTGGAGGCCCAGTGGGGAGCGGAGCATCCCTCCCACACCCACAAGAACAAGAAGCCCCTTCCTGCCAAGAATCAACTCAGGCTGAGAGGGGCTTGGACTTCTTTGCCCACATGGCAATAATGAGGCAGTGGCTCCCTTCCCCATAGATAGGTCATAGGCGACCCGCTAAAACACAGGATGCAGAATCTTATATATCATACCCCAAATATCACAGTTTCAAACTGAAAATCACTAGTCATACCAGGATCGGGAAAATCTGCATCAGAATGAGCAAAGACAGCGGCCACCAGTGCCAAGGTGTTACGGTGTTACAGAAGTTAGGATTAACTGTCAAGGATTTTACGGCAGCTATCTTAAAAATGCTTTACCAGGGAATCATGAACACGCTTGGAAAAAAAAGAAAAAATGTAAAGTCTCAGCAAAGAAATAGAAGGTACATCAAATGGAAATTTAGAAGTAAAAAAAGCACTAACCAACCAGATTTCAAAAAAAAAAAAGATCAGTGGGTGAACTCAGCCAATGAATGAAGGTGGCAGAGGAGAGAATCCATGAACTTAAAGACAGAACATAGAAATAACCCAATACAAACACCAGAGAGAAAACAGACCTAAATAAACAACCAAGTGAGGAGCCTCTAGGACCTGCAGAACTATGACAAAAGACCAAACCTGCGTGTCATCAGAGTCCCAGAGGGAAGAGAGAAAGGAGGCAGGGCTGGAAAAGCATGTAAAGAAATTATAACCAATCACAAAGAGCACTGAGTTATGTATGGAAGGGTTGAATCACTATATTATACACCTGAAACCAATATCACACTGTACATTAACCATACTGGAATTAAAATTTAAAAGTTAATAAAAAAAAATATGACCAAATGGGAGCTTTCCCAGCAATGCAAGGTTGGGTTATCATATTAACAGAATAAGGAAAAAAGTCTAATGATCATTTGCTTGGGTACATAAAGTGTTTTACCAAATTCAACACCCGTTTATAATAGCGACTCTCAACAAAGTAAGAACGGAAGGGAACTTCCTCGACCTGGTGAAAAAGCATCTGTGAAAATCCTACTGCTAACATCATACTCAAGGATGAAAGGCTGAGTACTTTGTCACGAAGACTGGGGACAAGACAGTGGTGTTGACCCTCAACTCTGCTGTGCAGCATGGCACTGGAGGTCCTAGCTAACGGAATGGCAGAAAAAAGGGGGAAAAAAAGGAAAGAAGAGAAAAGAAAAAAGGAGGGAAGGAGGGAAAGGAAAGAAAAGGCACACATATAGGAAAAGAAGTAAAGCTATCTTTATTCACAAATGACATAATTTGGTGTGTAGAAAATCCTAAGGACTCTACAAAAAGCTGTAAGACTGACAATGAGTCCAACACAATTGTAGGGTACAACATCAACAGAAATAAATCCATTCTATGTCAATTAGAAACCGAACAATTAGAAACTGAAACCAAAACAAAATACTACCTATAATAGCAAAGAAACATAAAAAGCGGCCAAAATCTCCTGCATTTGGAAAGAAGACATAAATCTACAATTCAAGAATCTCAAGGAACACCAAACACAATAAACCCAAAGACATGTATGCCAGGATACGTGAAATCAAATGTCTATAAACCAAAGACAAAAGAAAAAATCTTAAACGCAGCAAGACAGAAATGACACCTTAACTACTGGGGGGAAATCATTCAAATAACAAACAACTTCTTATCAGAAACCAGAAAGAAGTGCAAGGAGGAAGTGGCAAACAAAACCAGAACCTCCAACCCAGAATTCTCTACTCAGCAAACATCATTCACACGGGAAGCGGAAGTTGGACATCCTCAAATGCAGGAAAACTAAGGGAATCACCCACAGAGCTACCCAAAAAGGATGGATGAAGGACATTCTCTTAACAGAAATGGAGTGATAGCAGGTGAAATTGTTGAATATCAGAAAGGAAGAAAGAACAATAGGAAGGGTAAATGGGACTCCAAAGAGATGTCTGAGTCCCTCAGAAGCGCAGAAAAAGAAAAACAAACAAAAAAAAAAAACAAACGAAAACAGAAAAATGCAGCAGCAGACTTAAATCCTAACATATTGATAATTACATTAAATATAATGTCCTAAATATGCCAATTTAAAAAAACACCGATCAGCAGAGTGGGTTAAAAAAATAAGACCTAATTATTTGTTTTTTTCAAAAATCTCACTTCCAGTATAATGATGGTGGCAAACTGGAAGTGACCGGACCACTCAGCAATGAAGAGGAGAAGACTGGACACACACAACACAAGTGGATCTTGAAGGCATTGTGCTGAGGGAAAAACTGAAAAGACCACGTAGGGTAGGATTCCTCATGTGACATTCTCGAGGTGAGAAAGTTATAGGGATAAAGAACAGATCCATGGCTGCCAGGGGTTAGGGTGACAGGGGCAGAGGACATGAGTAACCAGTGGTGGAACCAGGGGAGATATCTTTTGTGTCTCTGCAACTTCCCAAACTCTATAATTATTCCAAAATAAAAAGGTTAAAAATCCCCAGATGGTGCAGGCTCCAAGCAGGACCTTCTAGACACAGGCCCAGCAGGATGCACGGGGCCCCCACCCTGCAGCCCAGCCCCAGGCCCAGCTGGCCTAACCTGGGTGCTGCTACAGGAGAACCCCATCTCTAGGACTCCCCGCTCTGGTTTCTGCTTTCCCCACAAGAATGCACCAACGCCTCCTGTCAGCTATGACCTCCTCTCTTATTTCCTTCATGTTCATGGGTTGAGACTTTTTATTCCTTTACTGCTATTCACTGGGGCTACAGGAGAGAGAGGAGATAAACATGCTCTTTATACCTTGTTTAATTGGAAATCATGAATTTTTAGGTTCTGACTTTTTGTTAGTACCGAGTGTCCTGAAAGACAAGATCCAAATGAGACAGAACAACCAGTCCAAGGCCAGGTGGGACCAGGGCCAGGTGAGGCCGGGGCCAGGTAGCACAGGGAAAGGACGGCTGGGCTGCCCTATCACTTACCCAGTGCACAGTCCCAGATGCACTGGCTTTCCATTTCTCTGCTGGTAGATAAGGAAAACAGTGCATTCCCTGACCCCTACCCTACTAAATGTTTTGAGGGTCAAACAAGGTTCTAGAAATAATTTTTTAAAGATTTTATTTATTTATTTGAGAGAGAGTGCGCATGAGCCGGGGGAAGGGCAGAGCAATAAGCAGACTCCCTGCTGAGCACAGAGCCCAATGCAGGGCTCAATCCCAGGACCCCAAGATCATAACCTGAGCCAAAGTCTGATGCCTAACCAACTGAGCCACCCAGGTGCCCCTAGAAATAATTGATAAAACTAGCGCAAAACAGTTGACCATGCAGAGCACCAAGGATGGGTTAAGAAATGCACAGCCTCTTACACCACACAGAAATCGACTCAAAATGGATGAAAGACCTAAACATGAGCCAGGAACCCATCAAAATCCTGGAGGAGAACATAGGCTGCAACCTCTGTGACCTCAGCCTCAGCAACTTCTTGCTAGACACGTCTCCAAAGGCAAGGGAAGCCAGAGCAAAAATGAACTATTGGGACTTGATCAAGATAAAAAGCTTTTGCACAGCAAA